TAATCCAATCTTTGTGAATAAGCATTTCCAGATTGAAGAAGGAGTCAAGCGGAATGTGAGCACTAAGGCCACTCCCTCTCATCCATACCACACACATCAGCTACATCTAAAGAAATACTCATGTACCATTCCCAACTACAACCCCAAATCCACTTGGATAAAGGCATTCCAAGTTTTGAAAATTTCTTAGCAAGTCTCAGCAAGCCGAATGGCAAATATTTATCAGTAACTGGAAATAATTGGAAATATCAGTGACTCCATCCATTTGAAGATACACATTTTATCTTTAAAATTTTTTTTTACCACAGTCTGTTGAACAAGGATTTCCACAATTTTATAACAACTACAAGGTACACATTTTTCTGAATAGGAAATAGATATCACTGAAGGATGAACTTGGCAGTGAATCTGTGGACAGCACCAGGTATTGGAACCTATTCTAAAGTCTTCTATGACTTCCCTGCTAATTCATATATGGTTTCTAAGCCAAGTTTAATATCTGTGGGAAATAGTGATCTTATTTACATTTTTATCAGTATCCTCTGCTCATCTCCTAAAACTACTAATAATCAATCTGATTAGCCCTAGCTGGTTTGGCTCAATGGATAGAGCGTTGGCCTGCGGACCGAAGGGTCCCAGGTTTGATTCTGGCCAAGGGCACATGCCTGGGTTGTAGGCTCCATCCCCAGTAGGGGATGTGCAGGAGGCAGCCAATCAATGATTTTCTGTTATCATTGATGTATCTATCTCTCTCTCCCTCTCCTTTCCTCTTTAAAATCAATAAAATATATTTAAATAATCAATCTGATTAAACAATAAGAACGTAGAATTGTGTCAGAAGTTAAAGAAATCAAGGAAGTAAAGGGAAACACCTCCAGCAATTTTGGTTGGAGAAGTTTATATTAAATGTCGAGGTATTGGTCCTGAGAAGGTAGCTAGAGAAAAGAGGGACTGGACATTTGTTTTTGTTTCTGTTTTCTAATAAATTATTTGGAATCTTAACATATATTTTAAAATATAAAGCAACTTCCATTATTGTAATAAATGTTTTTCGTGAAAGCTTCATTTACTTACATTTCTTTGTAAAACACCCTCCCTTTTCATTGTGTTGGTTACAGGAAGTGAGGTCTAATGTGTGCATACCAAATATGAGGCACAAACAACTCCATTCCCCTCACTCATAGCAGACATAGCTAATCAATCATGTCATGCTTTGCCACTAACGAGCTAGAATTTGGGGGGCTTCAGGGATCCATTACACATCAGCTAGTGCTGGCATACAGGTTGAGACATTTCCTATTGTTGGTGGCAGAGAAAAACCTAGGTCAGCATGTCCATCCTCCCTATTTACCAGCTAAGAAATCTTGGGGAAGGCTTTTCACCTGTTCTGCTGCCCTCACAGGACTGTTACACGTTAAAGGATTCAATTCCTGTGAACACGTTTTGTAAACCACGCTGTTGCAGTCACACATTTGAAGAAATCGGCTTAATTTTTGTAGGGTGCACACCACCATCCTTCTAGCTGGTTTCCTTTCTGGCTCTCCCCATACATATTTATTTGATCTATTTTATAAGTGTGGGTTGTTTTTATTTTTGGTTTTATTGAAACTGTGCACACCTGCACCCCTTTTGAATGTGACGTCTGATACTAACTAGAAGACAATGCTGCTGGAGGAGGAGAGAGCTCCCAGTCTCACACCTGGCTTGTCATTACGGTGCCTGGCAGTCCTTTCTGCTCCGCTGGAAGCTGTGTGATTAATAACCCCTCTTCCCAATTATGCGGATAACTCCTCTTCCTTTGGCTGTAGACAAGAAATATCTTATGTATGTGCAATGCAAATTGTGGGCTTTGTGAATGCTAATTTCAAAATCAGCTAGGAGTTGATTGGCAGAAAACCGAACAACGGGGTGACAGGCGTGCCAGGGGTCAGAAATCTGTGAAAGAAAAGCTTAGTGAAGGTGGAGAAAAGGCACTGGAGAGATTTGGAGTTAATCAAGAGCAATCGCCGGAAGAGCAGCAGTCTATGAAAGCAGATCTAAGCCAGACATCCTGGAAGAGACAGCAGGTTCAAAGGCTGGTGAAAACAATGAGAAGAGTGTGAGTTTAGCTGACTTTACAAAAAGCAGGCTGGAACTCAGAAGCCAAGATTATGCCACAAAAATGCACGAACTGTATTTTCTGTCTATCACATCCTTGAAAAGTGCACCTGGTTTGAATCCTTAGCAACCTCACCCCATTTTTGACTGTGACATCCTCAAAGTCAGGGATCCTGTCATTTGTTTTCCTGGATGCTGGCAGAGGCCAAGCACTCAGGCAGTGTTCACGGGGCTGGCCTGAACTGAACAGTAGGTTATCAGGGGCATGATTTGGGTAACACAAATCATTTTGTTTCTTAATCATGACAGCAGAGTGATCAGAATGAATACGGGAAAATGTAGTTGGAATCCATTCACTAGGTCAAGATAAGCCCCATTTTGATTTGCATTCTAAAACGAATGAAGATCTGCTAAATTTTCTGCACAACAGATACTGTCAGCCCAAGGCTGACTAGACAAAAGCAAGCCCAAAGACAGAAAGGTTGTTGAAACTTCTCCAAGCAATTGGCTTGGGTACACTGTTACTAAATTACTCTCAGGTGATCCACAGTTGGCATTGCAAAAGAAGATGCCCCCTGGACAGAAGAAGAGGTGGAAAGGGGAGAGGTAAAAATGCCACATCCTGTGATAGCTTGCGCAAATGACTTCTCTCCACTCTGTTGGGGGCAATGTAGACAGAATTCAGAGCCAGTAGCTTGAAATATCAGTTATATCTGCTCTGAGGGCCACTCCATCCATCGTCTTTGTACTGTAGCCACTTTGCCTGTACAGATGGTTTTTACTTAGGGTAAAAATACTTTTTCTTTGGGCAGTATGTCAACCTCAACATATGCTCCCATGTCCAAATGTATTTTTTAGAAAATTACACATCTGCCAAAATTTTACGTGGGGTTTAATAAATCTGTGAACTATACATACACACATTATTTCAACTAACTCTCTAAAATATAACTATCCATGCAGATAAACTCTATCTTTATAGCATCCTTGACACATAAATGGAAGCTTTCCAAAATGCTTGGGTACAGAACAAAAGGAAGTGCCAGTTGAAGGAATATTTTATGTACAACCTCTCTAACTCACGTTTATGAAGGTGTTTTATCTGTCTCCTGAAACCAGAAATATTTTACTTATCCCATGTGAAAATGAATACTTCATCTGAATGGATTTTAAGTAATGAAATGACTACTTCCATCCCATCAAATCTAACTAATCTTTATTTCAAGATAATCAAAATGAACAGTGTTAGAGTTCAAACATATTCTAGAAAGGTTTGTTTATTAAGAAGTGTCTCAGGTTGGACTTTTCCAGGGAATTCACTCAACACGTGAGCTAAGAACATAATTCAAAATGTGGAAATGATTTATGCTGGTTTCTAAGTATTTATAGTTCTCCCTTCTTCCTGGCCATTTTGTGACTGGGTGGGACTGTGGGATGGGTTCTGGACAATGAACTGTGAGCAATGAGCTTCTCCTCCCACAGAGGAGCATTTTCTGGCTCCAGATCTAGCTTGCTCTCTGGCATGGCAACCCATGATGACTCATGGCGGCTGCTCCACCGCCTCCTTTCCTTAGTGACAGTAATGGTAGAACCTCCTGCTGACTCAGAAGAATACACTTTTGTGGCTTTTAGTCATAACAGATTTGGAAAGTGCTTACTAGCACAGCATACTTAGCCTATTATAATAAATATATAATAACGCATATATAAATGAAAATATATGTGTATTGTATATATATATGTATATACTTCACTTAAAAATCTATTAAGTGAATATATTAGTTATATAATTGGATTAGTTATATATATATATATATATATATATCTTTGTTAGTTATATAATTGAATACACACATGCTCACATAGCTTTTTTAAATTCCAAAAGAATTTTATGTAAACTAATTGATACCATTCTACCCAGAACTCTGTCTTGTTAATTAAGAATTGTGAGATAACATCATTCCCAAAGTAATTAACTGAAAAAAAGGTAAAAAGCATATCCTACTTGCATTATTTGTTATTAACAATTTTAAGACTATGCACATTAATTGCAGATCTACATGGAATCAGAGAAAAATATATGTGGACCGGCACCTATAGATATGTAATAAATAAATAGAGACATGTATAATACAGTTGACTTAATTTTATAAATCCCACAAATTATTCATTTAGCCTTAGTAAAAGTTTTTCCTGAGAAAAGTGTATGTTATTTATCTTATTTATCTCTTTGCCATAGTGATACAATATAAAATAATATGTTTTATGTAACATAGGTATGTGTTATGCAAATATGTTCTACAAGTACACAATAGAAAGGACTTAGGAGAGTTCTTTACCAGTATAATACAGTGCAAAAAGAGGGCATAATTGTCTGAGAACTAGAATTCAATTCAAAGAAAAGCTGAATTGTTTTGAAAGTGGGGGAGGGATAAAAGATGATGGATGGTACTTGGGGGAAATCTAGGAAGAAGATAGGGCAAATGGAGAAGGCATTTCGGGACTAAGAGTACACACAGAAAGAAGCCCAGGCTGACAGGAAGAACACCTACTGAAATCTTACACATTTGGGTGTTGCAGCACGTTCCTAGCGAAAACTCGCTGATCTTCCCTTCAGAATCTTTGCAAGTCTACCAAAAGCCAAATAATCAAACCTAAACTGGCTGGATTTCTTATGTAGAATGCTGAAGATGCCAACATCTATGTAATGATTGCTGAAAAGAATCAGCATGCTCAGTCCAGGGCAAGGCTTAACCTCAAAATCCCTATTAAAAGTGGCATTAATTAGGAAAAAACAAATAGCCATGTGTTACCTGTGTAGTCCATTTGCCGTGCACTGAGACTGCACAGAAATAAAACAATTCCGGAAGCACTACAAAGAGTGGTTGTCTGTCAACACTTACTGCGAGGACAATCTGGAGGGAACTATGAGCCACTTCTATGTACTGGTACTCCAGAACACACCCCGAGACCGTGATGTAGCGATGGTCTTCTGGGGCCCAGTCTGGGGCGGGTGTCACTGATGTCACCATACATCCTGGTCCATTCTCCATCCACCAAGATCGGTGCATTGAAATATTAAAAGTCAGGATAAGGTCTGTTTCCTGAAAGAAGGCAATTTATAAGGATGAGAATTACTTCATAAATGTTAGTTAGCTTATTCGGACTGACTTGTTCTGAGTTTCCCATTTGGAAATGTGGGTTTCCCCCCCCCCTCCCCCGCATCCTTACTTACTGTATTTTATAGGTAGAAAAAACACATCTAAAGTAAAACTATCAGTTCTCCCTGAAAATGATGTACCTATGAATTCTACTTATGACAGTTTACCTGACTACACTATAAAAAATTATTAGTAAAATTATCAGCGGCTTGCATTAATTGTAAACCTGAAGAGTCCTTACCTCTTACGACTTGTATTTCAAAGGTTGTAATTTTAACTCTTTTGTCAAGTGAAGATCATCTTCTTTTATTTACTTTTTTAAAGATCATCTTATTTTAAATGTATTTTCCTCTCCCTCAGAATATTCACCTTTTGCCCATTTTAAATATTAAAGTTGTACTTCAATTTAGCAAAAGTTAATATAACGTTGTCACTAATACTAACATTTGTAAGACCTTTACTTAATAAAACATAATACTACCTTTTTTTCCTGTCCATTCCTACTATTTTAGCAAATTTTTTCAGGGTCTTTTCAATCTTGTCTACTTGTACTATACAATTAGCCAAAACATTTCTTAAGAAATATCATTAGCAAACTCTTGCAGGGTGGAGAAAATAAGTCAACAACTCATTAGACAAAGTTCAGCATGTACATGTTTAGCTGTAAATGCAATAAAAGGCATAGATTTTGTACTTAGAGAGCTTATAATCATATATACAAACATGAGCTATCAATAGCACATGGACCAATGTCTTCTAGGAAGAAAATGGGGAAAAGGAATGCATCAAATACAATTTACTACTCAACAAGTCAAAAAGTTCATAATAAAATGTAAATGCATATCTTCAACCTGCAATCATTAACTAGATGATATAATCTTATATTCTCATTCACTTCTTGTAGACATTTAAACAAAAGTCTGCGTGTATGTGCATGTTGTGAACCCTGAGGACTAAGAAGGGCTCCTAGTGGCTACCTGGGCTCAAATAAAAACAAAAACATAAAGCAGAACCTAGCAGCCATTTCTGCACAGGTGTCCCTCAGGCGAACCACACTCCAGGGAGCAGCTCTGCACCTCTGCACCTCTGCACCACTAGACTGCCTTCCTCTGGGCCACCAAACTGCCTGCCTGCACTGTGCTTCTGTCACTGGAACCAGCCCTTATAAAGTAGCTACTATAGTCCTATTTCAACCAATAGGACTGAGGCTTTCCCCATTCGATAAGAGCTGTGCAGTTCTGACCTATAGGAGCAGCTCTATTCTGACCAATCAGGGATCAGGAGCAGGGATTTCTGTCTATATAACCCAGTTCTCCTCTAGGTAGGAGAGCACACTTTCCATGGAACAATGAAGATTGTGTTTCCTGGCTGGACCACTATAGAGCTGTTCCAGGGCAGTGATGGTTCACAGACACTCTGTATTACCACGAGCTGTTTGCACTGCATAGAGTTTCCTTCTTCACTACATCCCAAATTGGGGGTTCCTGTTGGTATTGAGTTGGCACCAATGACCATCAGCTAACAAGGTGTAAATTATTTTAACCACAAAATATAAATTCTTGGTTGTAAAACAGACAATAAAAAGGGCTCCTGGAAGTCTCCTATTAAATTCAACAGAAATTCCTGAGTGTGATCTGCTCCATGCATAACCAATACACTATTTAATTCTCACATATTTATAATTTTGATTTCAAAATAGTAAGGGCTTTTGAGACAAAAAACTAACCTCAGTACTACAAAACAAGGCAGAAAACCACAAACCAAATCTTGTATATTCTGGGTGGATTTTTATTGAAAAACACACAAAATGGGCTCAGAATTGTAAGATTTGAAAACTTTCATATCTTAAGAAAACTTTCATAATTATTTGTTCAGATTAGAATAGTGACAAAAAATGTTGTGTCAATATTTTTATTCATCTCTTTTAGTAAGCATTCAAAAAGTTCAGATTAAAGGACCCCATTTTTGGTCATGTCATTTTTCAAAATAACAGGGTCTGATGTGTGACATGAAAGTTGTTATTAGCACTGAAATGTGGTTCCTGAAAAGGGCTATGTGTATTCAGGTCAACACAAGAAGCCTAATTGCTCAACAAATAATAAGCATTTGATAAAAAAAAAATTGACAAGTAAATGAGAAAATGATACTAATAGCACCTCAGAATTTCAATAAAAAGCTAAAATTTACTTTCACGGGTTATGGCATTTGAAGAAGAGCATACATGCATATATCTGTTCTGATAGTAAGCAGTGGAGGCTGTACTGCAGAGTATAGAAGGTGGAGGGTAAGAGTGAGAAGTTTTGAGTTGCCATTTTTAAAAATCTGAAATATTTTCTTAGATTTCTGGAATAGTCTACTACTTAGTTATTCTTTTGGAATAATACTGTTGAAAATTGATACAGTCCCATTTTTAGGCTGCTTAGTTACTATCTAAAAGGCTAGAAACTGCACTTCTATGTAAATGGAAATTAGGTTATAGTTATCATCATAGTTACTAACAAATTTAATTATTCATATGCCACATGCAAAACACTCTACCAGTTCGTAATGATGTAAACAGATAGAAAATGCTATCACTAATATCACAGGCTTGTAGTCTTTTTGGGGGACGAGGTACAAAGATGAAATGTAACGATACGAGAAAGCGTTGGTTAAATACGCAATGCGGGGTGTGGGCAATCTGTGCACAGGTCCTTGGAGAGTGAGATGCCTGTGAACTTGGGTGAGACAGCCCCTAGAAGTGGGAACTCTGGCTGGGGCCAGAAAGCAGGGCCAGGCTTGGACAGGCCATCAGCCTGGGGAAGGGAAACATTTTAAGTAGAATGGACCAGATAGTAAAAATTGTAGAGCTAAGACTACTTATATTTTTATGGACCTGTAAGTAGCCTTTATTTTATGAGATGAGAGTTTGGAAGGAGGAGTATAAAATAGCTTTGGAAAGATAAGCTGGGGTTAGACTGGGAGAGACCTAAACGTTAAATCAAACATCCTAGCTTACTGGAGGATGTTTGATCAGCAACAGGACGTTGGCACTGTCAACCATGAACCAAGAGTAATTACAACAGACATAATCAAGTCTCCTGTAGCACTGCAGGGGACAGTGGGGGAAACGTGATGAGTCCAGTGCAGGTGCTGAATTAAACAGCAGTCATTATGGAGGTGATGACACAAGTGCTGTAAGACCCGAAGGCTTGACCTCCGTCACCCAGACTCTTCTGCTGAGTTCTATAATGGTCCAGGGAAGCTCAGACCAGGACCACTGCTTTCAACACTCTCAGAGTAGGAATGGGAACAAGTCAGCATTCACCTTACCTTAAAACATACATCTGGCGATGACGTTAGAGGAATGAATGCGAAGCAAGCGCATTTAATTGAAAGAAGCAACTTTTAACAACAAAAATACTCTGGGAGGTTGAAATACTTACATCAATAAAACGTATATTTGGTTATCAGGACTGAGAATAAATAGTTAGGAAACCCTCTGATTGAATGATATTCTGTAATCAGCTGAGGAGGCAGGAGTTCAGATAGTGAGGAAGGCTGTATTTGACACCAAAAAAATCACTTTTTTTTCAATAAACTCTTATTTATTTACAATCCATATACACTGGGTTAAAGTTTAAAATATCATCAGAAAGCAGTGTGTTATATCTCATTGCTAATATCTACATGTAGATATTAATTCATAGGAAACCCTGAAAAATTCTTAAAAAGCATCATCATTCCTGGCTTATTTTTTGCTGGTGAACTTAATATTCTAACCCTAAATACAGCTGGTTTATTTTTTTTCTATCAATACATTCATAGATCTATGCAAACCTGCTTAGACATATAAAAACCCCAATGCTAAATTTGTCCTGGTATCATATAAATCAGTGAAAGCAAATCATGTTGTTCAAGATGCAGAAAGAAGGAGCTGAGAAAATATGGTTTTAAAAAGATAAGCAAAATCACAAATACAATTTAACAAGTTGGATAAATGTTACATATATAGGAATGTAGCCCAGAACATAAAGAAGTTCATATCTACCAACTCTAAAATCCAAAGATGCGAGTCATGCTACGATATGATGAACTTATGAGAAGTAGATGGGCCATAAAATATACATTTGTGCCCTCCTTTCTTCTAGAATATTCAACTGTGGGTAACCGAGATTTGGCTGATCATGGGTCATAAACTCAGTATGACACCATCACTAATATTGATTCCAGTGTCTGGTTTCTGTCATTAGTTATTCAAGAAAAGATTTAAGAAAATATTTCTGTGACCGTGGTGAACATTACAACTATTGCTCTAAAATCAGATGAGAAAAGTCTGATGGTATGTAGATTTCTAAAAGCTAGAGTTCTTAAACCAAAATGTGACTTTTCCCATTAGGTAGAAAAGGTTCACTAAAAATTTAATGTAAACCATTTAAAGTTCATTGACACTATGTTTTCATTGTTTCTAGCCTGAAATGGGTTTCTCTGGTCTGTGTTCCCCCAAAAGGCCAGTATTACACTTCTCTAAATCTTATCCTGACTGCCTTCTTAGTTGAGACAAATGTTCCATATTCTCACACAATTTGGTCTGCACTGTCTGCATCCGGAACATTGTTGCTGAAGTCGCTTTCTTATGAAATTCTCCCCAATACCCCCTATTAACATCCTGTATATCTCTCTGCATTAGAATTAATACTTTGGTCTACTCCTAAGAAGCTTTTCCTGATTAACCCCATTCCTTTTTTAACATTACAATGTATACTCAGTACTTCAAGAGCAATATTATCTTGGTCAATTGCTTTCTTTTTATGGGTAAAGGAGTATGGTAAGCCCCAATATAGTCACCTTTTTTGCTCAAAAAATGTATATTAACTCTTGGCTGTGAAGAAAGCCTGCATCTGGAATATTTAAAAAAAAGTTGTTTTAAGATGATCCTTGCAATGATCTAAAAGAGAGAAAAG